GGCCGCCGGCTGGCTAGTGGGTCGGGTGCCCGGTCCCGGTTATCTTCTGTCTGCGGTTTGCCTTGGCTCCTTCCCTCAGCCTTGAGCAGCGTCGGGAGCCGGTGGGCTGCCGTGCCGAGCAGCGAGCCCTTCCTGCTCTCCCTGCCGGAGCCCTGGCTCCAGGCTGGGATCTCCCCCGTTTTTTTGGGCTGCGGCGTTGCCGACAGCCCCAGGACTGTCTTTGGTGTGGACAAGGTGCCTGCTGGAAGACCCAGCACCTCTGGATCGAAGGGGACGGGCTGACTCACTGGCCGCCAGTGACCGGGGAGCCCAGAGCCCGCTCGGGTGGGCACGGAGGCTTCGGTGTTCGGGGGGGAGGAGGGCTGGGCTCAGCCGCTGCTCCAGGGATGTGGGTGCTGCAGCCCACGGGAGAGATGTGGCTTTCCCCGCTCCTGGCTGCTAAACCCAGCAGGGCCTCAGCATCCTTCCTGCACCAGAGCACCCACGGAGGGAGGAAAGTCCCTTGCGGGGCCTCCTCCGCACTCGGTGGCATCAAAGCGGAGAGGTACCGGCCACCTTGAGCCCTCCTGGCCCACTCCCGCGCGGTTCCTGAGGCCGACCGGGTTGGACATGCCTCGCTCGGGGGCCACCTCCTCCCGTGGGTCACCCCAGGGGCTCGATACCGTGTGTGGGGCAAGCTTGGGGCTGGGCTGCAGGAGGGAGAGCGTGGGGTGACCCGCCGGGATGGGGACGGGGATGTCTCGGGTGAGACGGGGCAGTTCGGAGGAGCCCCAGCACCCCGGGGTGCCTGCTGGCCCCCTGGTCCCCCCTGACCTGCCTCCCCTCCCCTGGCCCAGCTGCAGGCACAGAAGCTGAGGCTGGCACACAGCCGGGGACCCTACTACAGCGGCTCCCTGCCCAACGTCAACCAGATCGGCAGCGGCGTCTCCGACTTCCAGGTGAGCAGTGCCCGCTGTGCCGGCCGGGGCCTGCCCCGGGAGGGTCTGGGGGGGCCACCCCCCGTGGCACAGCAGCTGCTGCCCTCGGTGCCTTGGGGAGGGGGATCAGGAGCTGCGTCAGGACTCGGGGTGGGCGTTGGGGAGGAGGAGGATGAAGAGCCGTGGCACGGGCTGCTGTTGGGGACAGATGGGTATGAGGGGAGGTTCTCTGATCGCCTTGCCTGGCCCCAGCTCCGTCCCCCCGGCAGCGCTGCCAGCGATGGGGCAGTTGAGGAGGGCTGATCCTGAGGCCCCTTCCCTCGCGGATGGGCGGTGGGCTCACCCCGGTGTCTCCTCCTCGCAGGGCCCTTTGCAGTCCCCGCTGGATTCCACGCGCAGCACCCGGCACCACGGCCTGGTGGAGCGAGTTCAGCGGGACCCGCGCCGGATGATGTCCCCCCTTCGCCGCTATGTCCGACAGATATCCTTTATCCCATTCCCTCCTGCCCCGTTGGCGGGGGCAGGCAGCTTTTTCTCCCTCTGCTGGGGCTTCTGCGCCGATCCCAGCGCCCCACGTGCTCGTCTCTTTGGGATTAGCAAGCATTAGCAACGCGTGCTGCCCTGGCCTGTCTGCGGGGTTGCGTTAGGTGCCTACACGCCGGCCGCTCAGCCCCTCGCTCTCCGTTTGGCCCTTAACGTGCCTCTCACATCGACAGCTCTCCCTACGGACCGACCTACCTGTCGCCTCCGCCCGAGCCCAGCTGGAGGAGGTAAAAACCCCGCGTTTTCTTGGCTGCCAGCACTTGTTTTCCGGGTGCCAGTTCGCAGCCCGCTGCCTCCCCGTGTCTGCGGGGTTGCTGGAGCCTGTGTGTGCTGGAGCTCTGTGCTAAAGAGCACCCGGAGGTTTGGAAACAGGCAGGCTGGCAGGAGCCCAGCGCGGGAGAGTCCCTCGCAATGGGCAGCCGTCCCGGGAGGGTTTACACAGCTTCCCTTACCGGTCTGTGGGGGAGAAACCGGACTGGGGGGGGCAGAGAGAAACGCTGAGATGCCGGCAGTGGGGCTGGGAGGTCTCCCCCCTCCCTGATTTCGGGTGCTGCCTGCACCATCCCACAGAGGGGGGATTTTTAAGGAGGAATGATTTTATCGTGCCCAAAAGAGCCAGCTCCGGCACGCAGGGCGGCATCCGCCCGCCGTGGCAGCGGGAAGAGGGATCCTGCCCGAAGTGAATCACCGAGCGGCCGAGCCTCTGCGTGCTCTGGCTCTTGGCCCCGGGGGCAGGCGAGGACGGGGCTGGCTGGCCAAGCCCGAGCGTGCCCCGAGCATCGGCTCCATCCCGCAGAGGTCCTGGTGAGCTGTGGCTCCGCGCAGGAGCCATTTGGGCTCGGCTCAGCCCTTTTAGAGGTCTCCTGGGACTCCTGGGCCATATTTTCAAGGCTGCCCTTCCTCCGAAGTGCTGCGCTCAGCACAGCTCTCCTTCCCCAGCCCGAGGACCGTTCTCCTGGGGAGCCTCGCTGCCGATGCTCCTGCCGTATCCGTGCCCGGCTCGGCTGCCGTCTTGGTGCACTGGGAGCCCGAGGGGCCGTGTGTGCCCGTTCTCCCCAGCCCGGTGGGGACACCAGCGGCAGGTGCCGGCTGGCAGCCCCGCGTTAGGCCAGGGTCTGCTGGAGGTTCATGTTGTGTCTTGCACTTTGTCCCTCGCGATGAGCCACAGCGCCGGTCAGTCCAGAGTGCGAGGGCCGCGGCCTCGTCCCCGGCACATCTTCCCCCATCCCGCTGTGTCCAAGCCCAGCCGTCGGGTGCCCTCTCTGCCGTCCTCCCTGACCTCCCGGGGCAAAGCCTTGGCTTTTTTCCCCAGAAGAAGAGGTTGTCTCAAAACCTCCCCGCAGCGAGCACAGCCGCCCTCCCCGCAGGGCCTCGGGCTGTGGGGAGCCATCCCCGGGAGCATCTCGCTGCGAATCCCACTGCAGATTCCTTGTCCCAGGCTCGGCAGGGACTTTCATCCGTCTTCCAAATGGGTGCTTTCACGGGAACCTCAAGATTGAAACAACCTTGGCTGCGGTCTGCACGGGCCGGGCCAGCGGCCGTGGTTTTGTGTCCCTGAGGCTGAGCGCCCATCGCTGCGGTGTCTGGGCCTCCCCGCTGCCAGCCCTCCCTCCTGTGGGGCAGTGCTGCCCTGTGCCCCCCTCTTTGCCCCCCAAGTAACCCTGCTATTTCTCCTTACAAAGGACCATGCCCTGGGGTAACTTTCCCGTGGAGAAAGGACATTTGTTTAGGCTGCCGTCGGCTCTCAACAGGTGAATGATTTTTGATTCCCTTTTCTCTCTCTCCCCGTCTCTCAGCCGGGCTCCAGCCCTTCCCCAGGACCCCCAGGGTGGGCACGGCCCTGCTTGTAACAACTCCAGTCCCCGAGGAGAAGGGAAGGGGTCTCCAGGCTGCCCCGGCTGCTGAACGGGGGGAGCCCTGGGGTGGAGGTGGCCCTGGGGACCCCGGGGAGGAGGTGGCCCTGCGCACCCGGGGCTTGGTGCAGCCCTCGTGCCTCCGTGGGCTGTGTGGTCCCGCAGCCGCTCTGAGCTCCCTGAGGAGCTGCTTTTGGAGGCGTGGGGCTCCTGGATGCAGGGCAGGGTGTCCCCCAGGGCTGCCCTGGCTCGGTGCTGGCTCCCAGGGCAAGGACCCAGCTCTGCCCGCTGCCGTGGCTGCTTGGTTTCACCCTGGCACAGCACAAGAGGCGGGAGCCAGTGCAGCCCTGGGGGATCGGGCCACCTCTTGGGAGCCCAGCAAGGTGACAGAGCAGCGGGTTCCCCATGGGGTTTGAGCCCGTGGCCGGGCTTGGAGCTGCCCTTGCCACCCTGGAGAGCCGTGGCTTTGCCCCGCAGGGGCCGGGGTGGCTTTGGGGTTGTCCCTTTCCCTGGGCTGGGGCACAGCGGGGTCTTGGCAGGGCGAGCCAGGGCTCGGGGCGGGCACATTGCTGATGCTGCTCACGGCAGTTCCCGCTCCGTCTCCCTTGGGCCGTGTGAGGAGCAGTGCCGGCACCTCCGGGTGCTGCGGATGGGCGCCCATTGCTCCCTGGCTGGGCCCCGTGCCGGAGGGGGCTGCGTCCCATGGGCGACGGGGGAGCTTCCTGCTTCCCAGCTGCGCTGCAGCTGAACAATATCCCCCTTGTGCGGTCCCAGGACGCGTCATTAGCTCGAGCAGCCCTTGCCCAGCTCCTCCCCGTGCTCATCCGCTTCAGACCAACTAATTGGGAACACAATGGGTGTTATATCCCTGGGTCCTCTGCCCCCAGCCCCTCCAGGGCCCCCGGGGGAGCCCGTCTTCCCCCGTGCCAGGGGTGGCGAGAGCTCTGGGGCCTTTGCTGTGGTGGCAGAGCCGTCCCTCGGAGGAGACGGGGCCAGAGCAAGCCCCAGCATGTCTGGAAGTGCAGGGTGAGGGACCCTGCCAGAGCATCGCGTGGGGAGGGGATGGCAGAAGGGGACAGTGTCCCCGCAGAGCCCCTTGGCATCTGCCTCCAGAGCTCGCCCTGGGCATGGTGAGCGTTGGGCACAGAGGGCTTTGAAGGAGACAGTTGTTCCTCCAGCGAAACCCCCATGCTCTGCTTCCCTTCCTCCCCCTGCTCTTCCCCTTTTTTGCCCGCTGCCCTGGCCCTGCTCTCGCCCACCGTCCCGGGGCCAGGGCTATCACAGCAGCAGGCTGTAAATGGGGTGGGGGGACGAGGGCTGGGCCCGTATGACGATTGCCTTTCCTTTTCCAATTAGAACAAATTCCGACTCGGCGCTTCACACGAGCGTGATGAACCCCAACCCCCAGGACGCGTACCTGGGCCCCTCGCAGGGCGCCCCGCCGCCTGGCCGCCGGAGCGGTGAGCGTCCCCTCCCTCCGCACCCCGCTTTCCCCAGCGGGACCCCACCGCTCCCCACCTCCACCCGGCTGCCTCGGGACCCCCGGGCCCCTTCCCCCCCCCGAGGGCTCCGTGCGGGGGGTCCCG